TGAACATAGCATTTGTTGGATTTTCTTGGTGGGTTTGTAGATTGTTTGTATGTTATGTTTCCTCATCAGCTTTCCTATGTGGTCAGTGGTTTCCTTGATGTATGGCAGGAACACTTTTCCTCTGGGTGGATCTTCATCTTTACTCTCGTGGCTTGTTCTTGGTCTTGCAGTCTTCTGATGTCTGAGGTGGAGTATCCATTGGCCTGGAGAGCCCAGTTGAGGTGGTTCAGTTCATCTTGGAGGAGGTGGGGTTCGCAGATTCTTTTTGCACGGTCTGCCAAGGCTTTAATGGTGCTTCTTTTTTTACTTTTTTGACCCTATGAAATTCATGGGCTCACCATAATTTGATAGGTATAAGGAATACCCCAGGAAGGATCACACCAAGGGTATTCTTTTAGCAGGGAGAGGGAACAGGGAATTCTGAAAATGTGAATCCCACAAGCTACCAACCTTTTATAAGGAATATCACAGTGGGAAATGGATAAAACAGGGAAAAATATAACTGTGTATAGCTATATTTGAATGATGTCCAAACTGAGAGGTTTTGTAACTGTTTCTTCATTCTGGCTGCTAAAGGTAAGGGTTCTTCACAGTAGGCAATTTGAAAGCATATACACACAGACAGACCATAGGAAGAAACTAAATAATAATAATAATAATAATAATAATAATAATAATAATAATTTTGTATCCCGCGGGACTCGGGCAGCTCACAAAAAGTAAAAGTAAAGGTTTTCCCCTGACATTAAGTCCAGTAATGTCTAACTATGGGGGTTGGTGCTCATCTCCACTTCTAAGCTGAAGAGCTGGCATAGTCCATCAACACCTCCAAGATTATGTGGCTGGCATGACTGCATGGAGTGCCATTACTTTCCTGCCAGAGTGGTACCTCCATCCAGCTATTGACTACATCAGGAGTGTGCAAGAACTCACCTGTCAACTTATGTACCCACACTGACCTGTCTAGGTGCCATTTTTGACTGGTTTGGGAGAGAGGAGAAAGCAAACTGGCATATTTGTGTGTAGCATCAGATGGACAATCTTTTGTAAAACATACCCAAATGTTCCTTTAGAAATTATTCTTGGAGTAATGAGTAAAGAGTAATTTTCCCAAGCTTTCAGATCAGATAATAGTAGTTTGATCTCATTCTGTAAGCCTGCTAGAAATCTTCCTTTCTGCTCCTTGAATTGCTTTAGATGATGGCAGCAAAGATAGTTAAAACAGGAGGCCTAATGAGGAACATAAAAAAGATGTTTACCCGACATCTGAGCAGAACCTAGCAATGAAAGAAGGTGCAACATTTGCTCTAACCTGATCTTTAGAAAGGCAATCATTCCGGTATTATTGTCGGTTTTGTCGCAACTTCTCAGTAATTAATCTCAAGTGAAATGAAAGAGAACACAGATTATTTTTATTTAAATGTATGCTCTTAAATGTCAGGCAATTTCCTTTAGCAAAGTCAAAGTTGAAATAAAATTTCACAGAGTAAAGAAAAACACCTTTTCATTTGTGTTTTTTAATGGAGACTCAGATGTAAAGCCCGTGAAACTATGATTTATAGCATTTGTATATAAATCGCCCCAACATAAGCAAAAACATTAAATGAAGAGACTGCTTTCTGATAGAGCAGTGTTTCTCAACCTGGGGGTGATTTCAGAGGAGTTGCCAAAGACCATCAGAAAACATATTTCTGATGGTCTTAGGAACTCTTTTGGCAGAGAAGGCTGAAAATCTCTCCGCTTGTCCTTCTCTTCCTTTTTGGAAACAGACAGCGAATCCTCCCACCAAAAGCCTTCCCCTTGCTGTGATTGGCTGGCCTCTCAGCCAAGGGGAGGGCTGCTTCCGAGACTCGAACTCTCCTCTAAATCACTGTCAATTCCTCCCAAATCCATCCAGTATTTTCTGTTGGTCATGGGGGTTCTGTGTGGGAAGTTTGGCCCAATTCTGTCATTGTTGGGGTTTGGAATGCTCTTTGATTGGAGGTGAACTATAAATCCTAGCAACTACAACTCCCAAATGCCAAGGTCTGTTGTTGTTCATTCGTTCAGTCGTCTCTGACTCTTCGTGACCTCATGGACCAGCACACACCAGAGCTTCTTGTTGGCCGTCACCACCCCCGGCTCCTTCAAGGTCAGTCCAGTTACTTCAAGGATGCCATCCATCCATCTTGCCCTTGGTCAGCCCCTCTTCCTTTTACCTTCCACTTTCAAGGTCTATTCCCCCCAAATTCCACCAGTGTTCAAATTCAGGCATATTTGTGCCAAGTTTGGTGAACTCACGGTCAATGCCCACTAAACCCTTCCAGTATTGTCTGTTGGTCATGTTCTCTGTGTCAAGTTTGGTTCAATTCCATCATTGGTGGAGTTCAGAATGCTTTTTGATTGTAGGTGAACTATAAATCCCAGCAACTATATCTCTCAAATGACAAAATGAACCCCCCCCCCTCCCAATCCCACCAGTATTAAAATTTGGGCATATTGGGTATTTGTGCCAAATTTGGTCCAGTGAATGAAAATACATCCCGCATATCAGATATTTACATTACAATTCATAATAGTAGCAAAATTACAGTTATGAAGTAGCAACGAAAATAATTTTATGATTGGGGGTCACCATAACATGAGGAATTGTATTAAGGGGTCGTGGTATTGGGAAGGTTGAGAAACACTGAGATAGTGAGACTCATCCGCTACAGTGGAGGTTGGTTACAAAATGTATCCATATTGAAGTTAATTTGAAAGAGCTGCAGCAGTATTGACACTGCCAATCTTTAAAATTCCAAAGGTCTCCATATTTATCGGAACAATATCAGAGAACTCACTAAGCACAATGAAACCACAAAATTGGAAACACTGACTCTTTAATCCTTCCATGAGCATGTCTTGAGCTTGGCTGCAGGAAAAGAGTTCAGGACATTGTTCTCTTAAGCTTCTTTCCCTGTATTGTCTCTTTCTTCCTCTCGCTGGTGATGAATTAGTCACTGGTCTAAGCCATGGGCAGGTCATAGTAAGCCGCGTATCTGCCAGTCACGTGGTGATAAATCTGCAGAATGGGTTGGGGATGGGGCATTTACCAGAGCAATTAAAGAAAACCAGAAATTAAACAAAGCTGACAAATTAAGGAGAGGTCAACAAGAAGGCTGATGCAGTTTATAGACATTTAATTATTCGTGCTGATTAAAACAGGGGCTTGCTGAAGTTTCCTAAAGTTTTTATCTGTCAGCAAGCAGCACATAATGGTGTCTCCCCCCCCCCTCCTTATTTCCCCATATTTTATTTTATCCATGCATTTCTATTTACTCCAATAACAGCATATGTGAAGCTATGTGAGCCTCATAACCATCTTTTGAGACAGATTGTGTATGTGACTTCTTCCAAGGCTAGCTAGTAAGTATCTGAAATAGAGGTTCCTTGGTCCTGTACAAGCCATCATGCAAACAAGTGGTGTTATACAGTATAACTGGAGCGTCGTATTGTGACAAGACGACTCCCATGCTGCGACAGCTCCACTGGCTGCCGGTCGCTTCTGGGCTAAATACAAAGTGCTGGTTGTTACCTATAAAGCCCTAAATCAGTGTTTCTCAACCTGGGGGTCGGGACCCTTGGGGGGGGTCGAGGGGGTGTCAGAGGGGTCACCAAAGACCATCAGAAAACACAGTATTTTCTGTTGGCCATGGGGATTCTGTGTGGGAAGTTTGGCCCAATTCTATTGTTGATGGGGTTCAGAATGCTCTTTGATTGTAGGTGAACTATAAATCCCAGCAACTACAACTCCCAAATGTCAAAGTCTATTTTCCCCAAATCCCATCAGTGTTCACATTTGGGCATATTGAGTAATCGTGCCAAGTTTGGTTCAGATCCATCATTGTTTGAGTCCACAGTGCTCTCTGGATGTAGGCGAACTACAATTCCCAAACTCAAGGTCAATGCCCACCAAACCCTTCCAGTATTTTCTGTTGGTCATGGGAGTTCTGTGTGCCAAGTTTGGTTCAATTCCATTGTTGGTGGGGTTCAGAATGCTCTTTGTTTGCAGGTTAACTGTAAATCCCAGCAACTACAACTCCCAAATGACAAAATTAATCCCCCCGCCAACCCCATCAGTATTCAAATTTGGGCATACTAGGTATTTGTGCCAAATTTGCTCCAGTAAATGAGAATGCATCCTGCAGATCATTATTTACATGGCGATTCATAATGTTAGGGTTATGGTTGGGGTCACCACAACATGAGGAACTGTATTAAGGGGTCACGGCATTAGGAAGGTTGAGAACCATTGCCCTAAATAGTTTGTCTAATTGCATCTCCCTATACAGACCATCCCATGCACTGTGGTCAACGGAGGAGTCCCTCCACTCGGTCCCACCTCCATCACAAGCTTGTTTGGTGGGAATGAGAGAGGGGGCCTTCTCTGTGATTGCTCCCCATCTCTGGAACTCCCTTCCTAAAGAAGTAAAAACAGCCCCCACCCTGTTTTTAAGGACTAAGACTCTTTAACTACTTGGGATGCTGGCTAATCCCACTTGTACAATATGGCTACCATGTTACATTTCAAATGAACACTGGCATCAGTCATTTTTAATGCAACTGTATTTTAAATTGCTTTTAGGGTATTTGTTGTAATGTTTACTTATGTTTTAGTGAACTGTGTCTTATTGGATTGTTTTGTTTTATTTTTATCACAATGCTTAATTCTTCATCATAAGCTCAGTTATTACTGTTGCTTTACTGTGTATTATTTTGATCTATTTGTACTCACCTGAGGCATTGAATGCTTGTCTTTTTATGTGTGTAGACCACCCTGAGTCCCTTTGGGGAAAGAGGGCGGTCTAGAAATAAAGTTTTTATATTATTATTATTATTATTATTATTATTATTATTATTATTATTATACATAACAAAATTAGTACATAGCAAACAAGATCACTATGCTGGCTTTTGTATTTGATCACACATCAGACACTTCCCAAGTGTCTAGAACAGTGTGATGTATCAGCAAATAATGTGTACAGATGGGTTGCTGTAGGTTTTTTCGGGCTATATGGCCATGTTCTAGAGCATTCTCTCCTAGGAGAGAATGCCTCTAGAACATGGCCATATAGCCCGAAAAAACCTACAACAGCCCAGTGATTCCGGCCATGAAAGCCTTCAACAATACAATGTGTACAGATCCAAGTAGGGTGGCCTTTTGCAGCTGACAGATTGTTTTTAAGTGCAGGCCAAGGACTTTAGGCACTCCACCCAGTGTGTTGATCACCACTGGGATCACCTTTACTGGCTTGTGCCAGAATCTTTGCAGTTCTGTCTTTAAATACTCATATCATGTAAGTTTTTTCCATTATTATTATTATTATTATTATTATTATTATTATTGGAGAAGAACAGCAGAAATGGCCATTTACCTTGGTTTAGTGTCAATACCAAATCCAACAACAATATTTTCTCACATCAAAAAGCCTCCATGATTTTGAATGGTGCTTTCCTTCTGAACTTGAAGTGGAAACTGAGTGACAGTAGCATCCATGTTGCAACCCTTAGGACAGTGGTTCTCAACCTGGGGTCCCCAGATGTTTTTGGCCTTCAGCTCCCAGAAATCCTGACAGCTGGTAAACTGGCTGGGATTTCTGGGAGTTGTAGGCCCCCAGATTGAGAACCACTGCCTTAGGAGCAAAAACTGCAGCTGGTTCACATGTTCAAACCCAGCCCCAAATGGAAAATTCAAGAACCAATTAATTGTTTTGTTTCATCCCAAATGGAGCACTCAATTTTAGTGTATCTTTCCTTTTCTTCTCTCCTAGTCCAGGCTTTCACAATGTTGTAAGGACTGTGGGAACCTATAATCGCCCACTATTTATCTGGCCTAAATGCACACTCCTGAAGTCCCTCTTATAGTAGTATCCTTCACACTTGGACTGTCAGATAACTCCAGATGTGATCACTTTCTGGGCTAAACCCAATAGTTAGTCCTCGCAAGAGTATGCACATTGATTCAATGATATTTATATGCAGTAGGCCTTCTACTTTTTGTGGGTCATGAGCACATTATCAGTGCAAAACTGTGTACTGTTTTTCAATGTTACTTTTGTACCTAAGATAACACCTCTCTAGAAATCTCTGTATCCCTATGGTTATCTTCCACTGGAATTTGGCCATAGAGCCACCCCAGATGATAAAGATATATTAAGCATATCGGCGAATAATCAAAAGTTAAACTCACAAACGTGGAGGGCCAACTGTAAATGCCAATTTCCCATATTTCCATTGATCCAAGATATCTACTGTAGTTTGAGACTAATCACTGGATTTAGTCCTATGTGTGCAGCAGCAATCCTGACATTGTGGGCCTTTCTGGTTACAAGCTGCAATCTCTTTTGACAGCCAACCAGACCCATATCTCACAATGGAAATAAGCAATAGGACTATTGGCTTGATGCTGAACCATCAACTTAAAGATCAATGTTCTTTTGGCCAAGCTAACAGTCAAGGCCAGTTTTGCAAAAGCTTTTTTGAAGGATGGAGGTTGAGTTCTTAGTCCAAAGGCTAACTGGCTTTCCTCTTTCTCTTCCCTACTTCTCTTGCCTCCTCGTTGTCTTTGCTATTTCCTTTCATTTTATCTGGTTCATAGGGAAAGGCACTATGAACGTTCTGTTTGCAGCTCACCAAACAAGGCAGCTCAGAGGTTTCCAATAATGCCTTAGCCTGCTGGTGTCCTCCAACCCTAACCCACCACTTCATTCTTTTTTAGATATCTGTTGATAATGTGATGCAATCTGTAGTAATTACTCTCTTGTGGAATGGTGAGCAGGGACTTGTAACAGCCAGCATGGTCATTGCCCTCTGCGAATTCCCAGCTAATTGGGAACAACCAGGTCATGAAGTCCTTTGTGTCCCTATCTTAGCTGAACATATACTCTGATTATTTTATCTCTCTCTTTCCTCTAATATTGTTCCAACATTTTCAGTTCAGTTCTGCTTCTTGAATAGCCAAACACGTACTATTTCCCTCACTCTTGCATATGTGTCAAACTCAAGGCCTACAAACTGAATCCAACCCACCATGTCATTTTATGTTGCCTCAAAGGTTCTATTATTAGTAAAAAGTAAAGGTAAGTCTAGTCATGTCTGACTCTGCGGAGTGGTGCTCATCTCCATTTCTAAGCCAAAGAGCCGATGTTGCCCATAGACGCCTCTAAGATCATGACTGAATGGAGCACCATTACTTTCCCACCAAAGCGGTACTTATTGATCTACTCACATTTGCATGTTTTCAAACTGCTAGATTGGCAGAAGCTGGGGCTAACAGTGGGAGCTCACCCTGGATTTGAACCGCCAACCATTCAGTCAGCAAGTTCATCAGCTCAGTGGTTTAACCTGCTGTGCCACTGGGGGCTCCCTAATTATTCTAATACTAATTATTGGTATTAGTATTATATTTATATAGAGTTTTCAATGCCAGAGCAACTTGCTTACATTTATACAGTCTAAGAATTACAAAAGGCCTTTGAAGGCAACCATAAGGCTGATGTGGCCCTTGGTGAAAATGAGTTTGATAGCCCTGCTTGAATGTGATAGAATGGGTGAATTTTCCAGAGAAGGTTGACCACAGAGTCATGTCACAGAGACCACAGATTCCTAGAAAAAACATGTTAATCAAATCTGCAAATACTGTTGAAGGCTTCCATGGCTGGAATGACTGGGTTGCTGTGAATTTTCCATCTTCTATGGCCATGGCATTTTGCCTGCATCTATGGCAAGCATCCTCAGAGGTTGTGAGGTCTGCTGGAAACTAGGAAAGTGGGGTTTATATATCTGTGGAATGTCCAAAGTGAGAGAAACAACTCTTGTCTGTTTGAGGCAGGTGTGAATTTTGCAGTTGGCCACCTTGATTAACATTTAATGGCCCCGTAGTTTCAAGGTTTGGCTGCTTCCTGCCTGGGAGAATCCTTTTTAGGAGATTAGTTGGCCCTGACTGTTTCTTGTCTGGAATTCCCCTGGTTTTTTTTAGTGTTGCTCTTTATTGGCCAAATAGTCAAATTCACAAAATATATGGACGGCTATGTTGTCAAAGGCTTTCATAGCCGGAAACACTGGGTTGTCATGCGTTTTTTGGGCTGTATGGCCATGTTCTGTATGGCAATGTTCCAGTAGCATTCTCTCCGGGCATTTCACCTGCATCTATGGCAGGCATCCTCAGAGGTCTGTGGTTGTTTCCCACAGATATCTGAACAAACCTCTGAGGATGCCTGCCATAGATGCAGGTGAAATGTCAGGAGAGAATGCTACTGGCAATGGCCATACAGCCTGAAAAACCCCACAGCAACTAATATAGAGGGCTGTTTTTAGTTGTATGTTCACATATACATGCAACTGGAGAAGCATGCAAAGGCAAAAAAAGTTTTGTATGCAGAAAACTTAAGTCCAGTCCCTGGAACCTCCATTTAATTGTGCTAGATGATCTCCAAATGACTAGAGAAGTCTCCTGTCTAAGAATCTCAACGTCTTCCAGAGGAACTTTATGGGCATGACGAAGGGCCTAGATTTAGTCACTGGAAATTTTAGTTAAAAGTAGCAGGTGATGGAAATTCCTAAGGGAAACTGGCTATCAGACAATACAGAGATAGGCACACAAATAATCTAGAACAGGTATATTTCAGCATTCGGTATTCCATCATTTACTATTTGTTCCTTTCAACTGGAGATAGGTAGGCTGGAACCTGAGCCCTTATGCATGAAAAAGTATACAAAACTACAATCTCTCTCTCCATTAAAAGCTGTTTGTTATATAAAATTAAAAGATGGTGTCAAGGAAAAGGAGGGGTACCCCACAAATCTCTAGTGCAACTTGGGATCACTTGAAAAGCAGATGGCGGGGGCTGAACCTGTGGCACCACAGATGCGCAGCATGAATGCTACCACCGAGTTCCTACTGTAAGAGGGGTAATATGCCACAAAATGAACATATTGCTACTATGCAGGATCCCTCCTTCTCAGAAAGAGGCAGCTCAAGTACTTGAACATTAGCAATTAAAAGCAAGGCAACCCTGTAAAAAGTTACAAAATGGAAAATCTGAAAAGTCTGTCTTGCAAAAAGCACTACTATATCTCTAATAGCCTAACCTGTCTCTCAATATCTCCCAGCAAAGTGCTGGCACCCAGGCGAAAAAGGTCCGGTTTCAGCCATTCGTCTCCTAGTTCCTCCTTCATCAATGCAAGCCAGGTCAAGGCATCTTTGGCAGTGCGAATGCCTCCCGCAGGCTTAAATCCAACCTTAATTCAAGAAAAGTGGGGAATAGAAAACAAGGTAATGAGGAATACAAGCGCTGCTAGAGAAGGAAATAGATATTTGCATATCAAATGCATACATTTATCTACAAAATGGATGGGAGAGCGGTTTATTTATATAGGGATTGCTATTCTGTATTTCCAGTCTGAAATGGAGGTGTGCACAGTGGCTTATGGCCTCATAAAACATAAGCCTCACAATAAAGGTGCTGACAACGTAAAAATAAAATCATTAAAAATATAAAAGGAACCAACAGAAGATTTTTAATTGCTCCTCCTAAAAAAGAACCAGGCCTAAATAAAACAGGACTGTAACAACAGATCATCCAGGAGCTGGCTGCCATTTTATTTTGTTTTCTTTTACAGATGGCAATTGAACAACTGCAGAAAAGTAGGATATTATTATATTTATTGTAATTTATTTATCGTATCATTTATCGTATCAGAATAAAACCAAGGATACAGTTGTAAAGTATTTTAAAAAACCACAAAGTTTAAAAACTTGGAATTATATTAAATGTGCTTTGACCGGTAGCTGGCCACTTGGAGTGCCTCTCGTGTTGCTATAAGGAGGTCCTCCATTGTGCAGGGCTCAGACTGCATTGTAATAGGTGGTCTGTGGTTTGCTCTTTTGCACACTCGCATGTTGTGGGCTCCACTTTGTGGCCCCATTTCTTAGAAATCTTAGAAAACTATTTCTTGATTTCATAGAATCATAGAATCAAAGAGTTGGAAGAGACCTCATGGGCCATCCAGTCCAACCCCCTGCCAAGAAGCAGGAATATTGCATTCAAATCACCCCTGACAGATGGCCATCCAGCCTCTGTTTAAAAGCTTCCAAAGAAGGAGCCTCCACCACACTCGGGGCAGAGAGTTCCACTGCTGAACAGCTCTCACAGTCAGGAAGTTCTTCCTCATGTTCAGATGGAATCTCCTCTCTTGTAGTTTGAAGCCATTGTTCCGCTTCCTAGTCTCCAGGGAAAAGAAAACAAGCTTGCTCCCGCCTCCCTGTGGCTTCCTCTCACATATTTATACATGGCTATCATATCTCCTCTCAGCCTTCTCTTCTTCAGGCTAAACATGCCCAGCTCCTTAAGCCGCTCCTCATAGGGCTTGTTCTCCAGACCCTTGATCATTTTGGTCGCCCTCCTCTGGACACATTCCAGCTTGTCAATATCTCTCTTAAGGCGTTGTTGTGCTGGCTGATATCTGAACAGAGGATGGGTCAGAGATGTCACTGCCTTAGTCCTTTCGTCATTGGCTGCTACTTCCTGGCGGACGTCAGGTGGTGCAAAACCAGCCAAACAGTATAATTTCTCCAGCGGTATAGGGTGTAGGCATCCTGTGATAATGTGGCATGTCTCATTAAGAGCCAAATCTACTGTTTTAGTGTACTCAGCAGCAGTAACAAAGTGCAAGGGCAGATTATATTATTTACTAGCCATCCCCTGCCACGCGTTGCTCTATTAATCTGGAAAATAAAGTAATGAGAAAGTGTTGGTTTCTAATATATGTAATTTCTTTATGCGTGTGGGTAAACAGTATTTCTTGCTGTTTCTTTGTCAGTGTTGATGTGGAGAGTGTCTGGTTTGCCCACCCTGGAACATGCAACATATCATTGTCCTTCTTTAAGGGTCTATGATACTATATCTCTCTCTGTGTGTGAATCATATTTATTGATCGATCGATTGATCGATATCGATGGCTGGATGGTCCTTTGTCAGGAGGAATTTGATTACGTTTTCTTGCCCTGGTGAAGGGAGTTGGATTGGATGGCCTTAAGTATTTTCTGTTGGTCATGTGGGTTCTGTGCGGGAAGTTTGCCCCAATTCTGTCATTTGTGGGGTTCAGAATGCTCTTTGATTGTATGTGAACTGTGAATCCCAGTGACTACAACTCCCAAAGGTCAAGGTCTATTTCCCCCAAACTCCATCTGTGTTCATATTTGGGCGTATTGAGTGCTTGTGCCAAGTTTGGTCCAGATCCATCATTGTTTGAGTCCACAGTGCTCTCTGGATGTAGGTGAACTACAACTCCCAAACTCAAGGTCAATGCCCACCAAACCCTTCCAGTATTTTCTGTTGGTCTGGGAGTTCTGTGTGCCAAGTTTGGTTCAATTCCATCATTGGTGAGTTCAGAATGCTCTTTGATTGTAGGTGAACTATAAATCCCAGCAACTACAACTCCCAAATGACAAAATCATAATTGTTTGAGTGATGGTCACTCCTTGTATTGTGAGACGTTTTGTTGCCAAAATTGGTGTGATTTCGTTCATTGGTTCTTTTGTTTTTAAGGTACTCATTATGCCCAGAGCATTTATATATATATAGATTATACTAATAATATCCTACGTTTCTGCAGTTGTTCAATTTCCTTCTGCAAAAAAAATAATAATAAAAAATAGCAGCCAGCTGATTAATATTTAGGATTAGGATCCCACTTTTCTTCTAGGACTGAGATAGCAGTGCATTTTTTTTAAAATAGACATGGATATATATTTTTTGAAAGGAGACCAAATAGCCCAATAAGGGCACGGCACATATGGGGGAATGGAGTACAGCCAGCTAAATCCAGAGTCAAACAGAGTGGAGGCGTGGCATTATCTTCTCTCACTTACTCTGCCACAAAGGATACCTACTTGATCCTGAAGCTCATTAGGGGGTGAATGAATGGGACTATCCACTGTCCACAAGAAAGACTATAAGTTATGTGCACGGTCTTACCCAACCTTTAACCCTACAGTTGTGCTGGGCTGCATCTCCCTTACCATGCCAGGCAAAACAGATATTTAAGGAATTCAGGAAGAAAAAAGGAGCCAGGATTTTCAAGGTAAGTGAGGTGGCATACAAGGCCCCACCCCAGCCATTCCACAGATATATAAACCCATTGCCCTAATTCCAACAGACCTCACTACCTGTGAGAATGCTTGCCATAGATGCAGGTGAAACATCAGGAAAAAATGCCTCTAGAACATGGCCCTATAGCCCGAAAAAAACCCACAAGAACCACCTCACTTACCTTGCAAACCACCATTTTCCCCTGGAACAGCATCCCATACCACACCCCCACCAGATATTTGCTATTTTCCCACTTTTTGCAGGGAGCTGCACCACGGAAATGGAGGGATGAAAGAGGAAGTCTCCTTTTCAATGCAAATTCTAAACAGGGGTGGCACTTTTGGAAGTGAGCCTTGAAGACATCAAATAGTCGCAGTGCCTTTAAATTCCCCTTCCATGTTCCTTCAAAATAATTCTATTTCTTTTCACCCAGAGTGCTGCTTGTCTCCCTTTCTGTTTGCTGACTTTACACAGACTCCATCCAACTACCAGAACATACCATATGTGCACGTGTGTGTACCTTTCATTCACAAGCTATAAAAAGTCTGGCTCCTTTCCGCTTGCTGTTTCACAGCATTTCATTATTTTGTTTAATAAGTTCATCTCCTTGAGAATATTTTCTTGTCACCTTATATTATTAAAAGTAATAAGTTTCTCTGGACTGGGGATTCCCCAACAGAAAAACCAATTTGTGTGTGTCCTTCAATAATGACAGGAAAAGATTATTTCCCATTATGCTGCATACTTTTCATATCCCCGCCACAGCTTATCATTCAATAAATGTTAGCCTGCAACCGGCTTCTGTCCTCGGAAGAAGTTTAATTTCTACATTAACCTGTTTTTACTGGCCAACGCCTTGCTGGAAAAGCATCTGTACAGCAGCCAAATTGGTTTGTTAAGGAAACCATTTAGAAATCTCTTGTCAGTGATAAAATAGTCTCCGTTTAATAAAAGGATATAAACTCAGTTTACATCTAATTTTTTATTATTATTTCCTGAGCAGGTGCCCACGCTGCATGCTTTCAGTTAATAGAACTTTAAACACTCTCCCCTCCCCTCTGCCATAAACTCTGTGTAAATGTATGATAAATTAAAGAGTTATCTTAATGACATGCAAACAACATTCCACGTGAACCTCAACATAGAAGCCCGTCTCAGGAGTGGGAATAAAGGGGAACTGCAAAACATGACCAGAACGATACCATTTATGGGTTGTTGTAGGTTTTTTCGGGCTATATGGCCATTTTCTAGAGGCATTCTCTCCTGACGTTTCGCCTGCATCTATGGCAAGCATCCACAGAGGTAGTGAGGTCTGTTGGATCTAGGAAAATTGGGTTTATATATCTGTGGAATGACCAGGGTGGGACAAAGGACTCTTGTCTGCTGGAGCTAGGTGTGAATGTTTCAACTGACCACCTTGATTAGCATTTGATTGCCTGGCAGTGCCTGGAGCAAACTTTTGTTGAGAGGTGATTAGATGTCCTTGTTTGTTTCACCTCTCAACAAAAGATTTGCTCTAGGTACCGTCCGGCAATCAAATGCTAATCAAGGTGGTCAGTTGAAACATTCACACCTAGCTCCAGCAGACAAAGTCCTTTGTCCCACCCTGGTCATTCCACCCATTTTTCCTAGTTCTAACAGACCTCACTACCTCCGAGGATGCTTGCCATAGATGCAGGCGAAACGTCAGGAGAGAATGCCTCTAGAACATGGCCATATAGCCCGAAAAAACCTACAACAACCCAGTGATTCCGGCCATGAAAGCCTTCGACAATACATTGATACCATTTATGTCATGCGGTTGATCTGTTCCTGTATGCGTAGTGCAACTCAGAGAGCTTTGGAAAGTTACTTTTGGATGACAAATCCCATCATTCCCCAGCCAATATAGCCAATGGGGAATTCTTGGCCTTTCAAGGTTTCCAGACTTTTTGGGTAACTGGGTTGAGTAGGAAACCTATAGCATGGGATACTTCAAGGGGCACAATGATTGTCTAAAATACTTCCAAAATAAACAAAAACAAGATCAGAAATGGCGAGAAGTCTTCTTCTAGGTCTGAAAAATAAGATACTTAAATGGTCAGGGGGATGACCTTCATCCTATTTAAAAGGTGAATGGTCTTCTCCTCTGGGGAGGGCCAGAAAATGGTAAATGGTAAACATGTGGAGTCTGAAGAGTCTGAGGGCCAGAAACCAGCATTGGGGGCAATATGGAGACACAGGAATTAACTAATCTGATCTGAAGACATTATTTTTGCCTATCCTGGTGTATTGCAAGAAGGTTTACAAATAATCTGGAACTTGGACAGTGTAGGGTTAAAGTTCAACTGGAAGCTTCTGCACATGCAGCTCTATAGAAATCAAAATGGCCTTGACAGATTGAAGAACTTTGCCAACAAAATGAATTTCAACAGAGACAAATGGAAGATGTAGGCAGGAAAAATGAAATGGACAAATATAAAATTGGTTGTTGTAGGTTTTTTCAGGCTATATGGCCATGTTCTAAAGGCATTGCCATACCTGGCCATATAGCCCGAAAAAACCTACAACAACCCAATGATTCCGGCCATGAACGCCTTCAAATATACAAATATAAAATGGGTGGCATCTGGTTTGAAATCACTATGTGTGAAACAGATCTAGAAGTCTTAGGGCCCTTCCAAACAGCCACATAACCCAAAACATCAAGGCAGATAATCCACAATATGTGTTTTGAACTGGATTATCTGAGTCCACACTGCCACATAGTCCAGTTCAGTGTGGATTTTATACAGATGTGTAGAAGGGCCTGAGTAGACCACAAGCTGAACATGAGCCAATGCTGTGGCATGGCAGCCGAAAAAGCCAACGAAATTCTCAATTGCATCAGCAGTATAGTTTCCAAAACAAGGTTGTCCCACACTATTCTGTGCTGGTCAGATACTGGGTTATCTGAATCCAATCCAGTTCAATGTGGATTTTATACAGCTATGGGGAAGGGGCTTAGTATACCACAAGCTGAACATGATCGAATGCTGTGAAGTGACAGCCAACCAAGCCAATGAAATTCTCAATTGCATCAGCAGTATAGTTTCCAAGGCAAGGACACTGGTTGTCCCACACTATTCTGTGTTGGACAGACCTCATTTGGAATACCACGCCCAGTTTTGTGAGCCACATATCAAGAAGAACATTGACAAGTCCAGAGAAGAGAGACCAAGGCAACCCAGTCCAATATTCCATTGGAATTACAACTCCCAAAATCCCCGCCTAGAGAAATGAATGAAGCTAATAATGCTTCTGAACATTAAACCACAGCAAATGCTAGAATTTTGAAGACCTACCAATTAAATAAAAGAGAGAAAGGAAATGGAGTAATGTCAGACCGAAGGGCAGTTTTCTTTTACGAACCAGAGAATTCATTAGGAAGAATGAAGTAGCACCTCAGGCACTGGATTGTCGTGTCATCAAAAAAGGCAGAAATGTCTTACTTTCTTAATTTATTCTTCCTACTCCCAGGGAAAGGCACTTGTAGGACTTTTTTCTTCTGCCTCGGGTGCCTAAGGCTTGCCTTAGGTACTCTGCACTTTGGCAAATGGCAGGACGGAGCCTCTTTTGCCTCAGGCAGCACAATGATACAGGTCAGCCCTCAGATGGGAAGCAAAAGTTGGCATGCTTTGGATGATAAAGTCAAGCTGAATGATAAATCTGCTCAAATACATATGAACAGGTTACAATATCACTATCACCATCCACCAAATTAAAATCTTCTTTCTTGGAAAAACTTTTAGGGGGATCAAGAATGGCATCCAAAAGGTCTTCTTTTAAAGAAGATTGGGTGATCGTACAAATTTCCACAAGTATAGTTTTCCTTTTGCTTATTTTTTTTTTTTAAAAAAAAGAGACCATGGAGGGGGATCTCATACCCACAAAAACAAGTCCCGTGTAATGTTGCTCATTCTCATGCAAAGGTGTCAGGCTATAGGTATCCCAGGTTCATATCCCAGTATAGCCATGAACACAAGTAGGTGGCTTAGAACAGAGGCTGCCTTTCAATTTAATCAACCTGATAGGATTCTTGTGAGGATAAAATCTGGTTGAGAAACAGATAGGCCATTCTGACAGAAGGTGAAGATAATAAATGACAAACATGTCGAGATGCCTGAAGATCCTAGAACATGCCACATTTCGGACACTTCCCTATCACTTATACCAGAGCTGTGTACGTTGCACTTAGGCAGAAAAAATGAAATGCAAAGATACAGAATGGGGGACACAGGGCTTGAGAGCAGTACGTATGAAAAATATCTTGGAGTCCTTGTGGACAACAAGTTAAACATGAGCCAACAATGTGATGCGGCAGCAAAAAAAGCCAATGGGATTTTGGCCTGCATTAATAGGAGCATAGTGTCTAGATCTAGGGAAGTCATGTTACCCCTCTATTTCGCCTTAGTTAGACAACACCTGGAATATTGTGTCCAATTCTGGGCACCACAATTGAAGGGAGATGTTGACAAGCTGGAATGTGTCCAGAGGAGGGTGATTAAAATCAAGGGTCTGGAAAACAAGCCCTATGAGGAGCGGCTTAAAGAGCTGGGCATGTTTAGCCTAAAAGAAGAGGAGACTGAGAGGAGACATGATAGCCATGTATAAATATGTGAGGTGAAGTCATAGGGAGGAGGGAGCAAGCTTGTTTTCTGCTGCCCTGGAGACGAGGACTCAGAGCAATGGCTTCAAATTACAAGAAAGGTGATTCCACTTGAACACTAGGAAGAATTTCCTGTGAGAGTTGTTCAGCAGTGGAACTCTCTGCCCCGGAGTGTGGTGGAGGATCCTTCTTTGGAAGCTTTTAAACAGAGGCCGGATGGTCATCTGTCGGAATGCTTTGAATGAAATTTTCCTGCTTCTTGGCAGAATGGGGTTGGACTGGATGGCCCATGAGGTCTCTTCCAACTGTAGGATTCTATGCTTCTATGTGTATCATAACACATGAGTATACCAGCTGCAGTGTGTTGGCATGTCACACAAAAATAATGAGAAATGACAAAAAACCTTAGAAATGTATGTTATTATCTGACCAATCCTATATATTTTAAAAATATATAAATAAAAGGTGTTCATGAGATAATGTATTGTCGAAGGCTTTCATGGCTGGAATCACTAGGTTCTTGTGGGTTTTTTCGGGCTATATGGCCATGTTCTAGAGGCATTTCTCCTGACGTTTCACCTGCATCTATGGCAAGCATCCTCAGAGGTAGTGAGGTCTGTTGGAATTAGGACAATGGGTTTATATATCTGTGGAATGGCTGTGGTGGGGCAAAGAGCTCTTCTCTCCTGGAGCTAGGTGTGAATGTTTCAACTGACCACCTTCATTAGCATTTGAAGGCCTGGCTGAGCCTGGGAAAATGAGATACATTGTGTCCCCATACTTTTCATTATTACAATTTATTTATATGACTCATAGAATCATAAAACCATAAAGTTGGAAAAAACCTCATGGGCCATCCAATCCAACCCCCTGTCAAGAAGCAGGAAAATCGCATTCAAAGCACCCCTGACAGATGGCCATCCAGCCTAGAGTCACAATGGAGGATGTAATAAAGTCCTACAAAGAATAACTCTCTATGAATTTTCAAATTGCTCCATGGGACCTCCATGTTAACTTCTGCTGGAAGTTATTCATTTTGCTAATATCCAGAGTTTATTGTTTCCCTGGTAAGTTCAGGAATATATAATCTGTAGATATGGGGGCTGTACTGTACAATCTTCTCCAGAACTAAAAGATAGCATAGGTGTTGGGTTACCTTATAGCCAGTTTTCCAGTAGAAGTCTCTGATGGCTCTTACCATGACCAGCCCTACTGGGATGGTAGCATTAACAGCTTCTTTTCCTGTGGAAGTCTTAATAAAATCAGAACCTTTGGGAAGAAATGAAAAGAAGAGAGAGTTCAAGGTTAGGAAAATGATCATTAGTAATCCTAAGTGAAGCTTCATTATCAACTATTTTCTTCCTCCTAATCATATTAGGGAAGCAAGGTCAACCTGACACAAAATGTTTCTGTGTGCATCAGGGAGCAAAGAGTCTGTAAAAGTTACTTTTGTGAGTAAAATTCTTTGAATCCCAGTTCAGTAAGGATATTGGCAAGCTACAACATGACTAGAGAAACCAAGCCTTACTTAGGAAGCTGTGGAGATCTAGCTCAGAGAAGAGCAAACTGAGAGATGATGTGACAATCATCTCAAAATATCTGAAGGTACTTGATGTAGAAAATGGATCTGCCACCCTGGACATTCCACAGATATATAAACCCAATTTTTCTAGTTTCCAACAGACCTCACAACCTCTGATGATGCCTGCCACAGATGCAGGAGCAATGTCAGGAGAGAGTGCTTCTAGAATATGGTCATATAGCCCGAAAAACCTACAATGACCCAGTGGATCAAAGTTGTTTCATGCTGCTTGAATCACAGATCAGTGAGGATATTGGCAAGCTACAACATGACTAGAGAAACCAAGCCTTATGGGGAATGATTTAGGAAGCTGTGGATATCTAGCTCAGAGAAAAGCAAACTGAGAGATGATGTGATGATCATCTCAAAATATCTGAAGGTATTTGATGTAGAAAATGGATCTCCCACCCTGGACATTCCAGATATATAAACCCAATTTTCCTAGTTTCCAACAGACCTCACAACCTCTGAGGATGCCTGCCATAGATGCAGGTGAAACGTCAGAAGAGAGTGCTTCTGGAAAATGGTCATATAGCCCGAAAAGCCTACAGCAACCCAGTGGATCAAAGTTGTTTTATGCTGCTTCAAAAATTAGAATACAAACCAATGTTTTCACCTGAACAAGAGGCCCCACCCTAAACATTAGGAAGAACTGTAGGAACTCTCTGACAGGCTGCCTTGGAAAGTGGAGGACTCTATATCTTTGGAGGTCTTTAAACATCCATTCATGAGCATCTTTCATAAGTTCCTTAGCCATGTATTCCTGAATGGTAAGGTTTTCAACTGGATGGCCTTTGGGGTATCTTCCAACTGGTAATGTCATCTGTAGGATGCTGGGAGTTATAGTTGGAAAAAGAGAGAGTTTGTTCAGAATTCCAGCCATAACCTTGTCTAGGATAACTCATTCCATTCAATTCTGCAGTTTCAGCTGCCATCTCTCATAGTAAGAATGCAAGAAGTTACTTATTACCAAGTTAGGCTAAGAAATAAGTTGAGAAAATGGCTTTTCAGACTTCATCTTCCATTCTAGGAGTTATTTATTTTTTTATTTATAGTGTCAGAACCAAGTTGAAGGTACAGTTAAAATATATTTAAAAACACAAACGAAGTTTTTTAAAAAAACTTGGCATTATGCTAAATGCCCTTTGACCAGAAGCTGGCCACTTGGAGTGCCTCTCATGTCGCTGTGACAAGATCCTCCATTGTGCATGTGGCAGGTCTCAGGTTGCACTGTAGTAGGTGGTCTATAGTTTGCTTTTCTTCACACTCACATGCCGTGGACTCCACTTTGTAGCCTCATTTCTTAAGGTTAGCGCTGCATCTTGTGGTGCTAGAGCACACCTGCTCAGCACCTTCCAGGTTGCCAAATCTTCTGTGTGCCCAGGAGGGAGTTTCTCATACAGTCTCAACCACTGATTAAGGTGATGGGTTTTCACCTGCCACTTTTGGATTCTCGCTTGTTGAGGTGTTCCTGCGAGTATCTCTGTCGACCTTAGGAAGCTGTTTCTTGATTTAAGCCATTGGCATGCTGGCTGATATCTGAACAGAGGATGGGCCGGAGATGTCACTGCCTTGATCCATTCATTATTAGCTGCTACTTTCTGATGGATGTCAGGTGGTGCAATATGAGCTAAACAGTATAATTTCTCTAGTGGTGTGGGGCGTAGACATCTTGTGATAATATGGCATGACTCATTAAGAGTCAAATCCACTGTTTTAACATGGTGTGATGTATTCCACACTGGGCATGAGTATTCAGCAGCAGAGTAACAAACCACAAGGGCAATTGTGCCATTCTGAGAGATGTGGTCCATAAAAGTACTACATCAAAATTCTGATGCTAGGCATATTATAGTACTTATTATAGTACTTTGACCACATAATGAGAAGACAGGAAAGCTTGGAGAAAACAATGATGCTGGGGAAAATGGAAGGAAAAAGGAAGAGGGGCCGACCAAGGGCAAGATGGATGGATGGTATCCTTGAAGTGACTGGCTTGACCTTGAAGGAGCCGGGGGTGACCATGGCTAACAGGGAACTCTGGCGTGGGGTGGTCCATGAGGTCACGAAGAGTCGGAAGCGACTGAACAAATAAACAACAACAACAACAAAGGCATATTATCTATCTGGTTCAGTACTGTCTACCTATACTGATGGTTCTCCAGAAATCGGGGTTCTCCAGAAATTGACTTCCACATCACTGTAAATTCTGGTATAACAAAATGGAACTTAAGATTTTTCAAATGCAAAGCATGTCCTCAGCCTGGGAGCGATAGTTCTCTTTTTCAAAGTTGATGACCATTGTTTTTTCCTCCTCTTACAAAAGTAAACCAAACTTTCCTTCATCAATTTATTCTCCCCCGCCTTCCCTCTGGTTTTAATTTCACTGCAAAGTTGAAGCCCTTTTACACAATACTTCCGCATCACACCCCCCTCCTTTCAGACTTAGGTAAGTCAAAGCTTTTATAAGTCTGGTAATTAGAAATCTCTATGGTATAGTTTCATTAAAAACTTTCATTAAACAACATCTGCCCTTGTATAGGGTCTCCTAATCAATTTGGTCAAACAGAAGGGCTTCTAATCGGCTGTTGATAAAAATAGAAGATGAAATTTTAATTCTAATAGATTAACCACAAACTCAAGATAGTCTTCAAAATCCATCTCGCTCTATTCTCCAGTGGATTTAACGACTATTCAGCAACTCATTACTAAATAGAACAAGATGAACATTTTCCAGTTCATTAAAGAAATGTACTATGTATTTTTGCATTGTCCTCATGATTCGTTACAGGGAGTCTTAATTACAAGATAATGGATAATGGTTATTAAACGCAGGCTCCAGTAATGAAGCTCTATTCATTTGTGAGCCTCGGAGACTGCAAAGAGGAGAAAATAAAATTACTAGCTTCAAAAGATTAACGGATCAAATTATTATTCAATTTTGAAAATCTCATTCAGACTTTGCAGAAACAAGAAGGGATCTTTTTTTTTAAAACAAAAATGCTAGTATATCAGGACTACAGTGATGCACTTAGTTTTTAAAATAAAATAATATCTTAAGGCTATTAGTAGTATAATCAGCTTGAGATGTGATTATCAAACACACAGCCAATTTAGCAGCATCTCCTAACAATGAAAACAATACACTTTTTTATTTCATGTACAAATTCTATTTATGATACGATTGAGAGTTTGCTAGCAGGATTCCATAAAGAACCCAGAAGATGGATTCTGCCACTGAGCCTTACAATATAAAGGTATTATTAACATTTTATATTCTACTAATGAAAACGGGGACTTTGAAGAGTGGAGAGAGAGAAAAGCAAAGTACTGTTTTAAAATGGATGCCATTAAGCATAACTCATGTGAGGTTTATAAATAAAGGTGGTTTTGGACGTATTATTCACCATCTGTGCCTTTTTTTTTCTTGTGAAGAATAGTAATAAAACAGGGCAACGTTTACAAATAGATCAGAACCTGATCTCACAGAGACTTGTGAAATGAGCAACAATGAAAATTCAGTGGTTCAGGAACCATCAATACCAGAGCTGAGTAAAAAATATTTTGGGGGATTACAGTTCCAGATAGATGCTTTTGAGCTGTGGTGCTGGAGGAAAGTTCTGAGAGTGCCTTGGACTGCGAGAAGATCCAACCACTCCATCCTCCAGGAAATAAAGCCCGACTGCTCACTGGAGGGAAGGACACTAGAGACAAAGTTTAAGTACTTTGGCCACATCATGAGGAGACAGCAAAGCCTAGAGAAGACAATTATGCTGGGGAAAATGGAAGGAAAAAGGAAGAGGGGCCGACCAAGGGCAAGATGGATGGATGGCATCCTTGAAGTGACTGGACTGACCTTGAAGGAGCTGGGGGTGGTGACGGCCGACAGGGAGCTCTGGCGTGGGCTGGTCCATGAGGTCACGAAGAGTCGGAGACGACTGAACAAATGAACAACAAAATGGTTCCAGAATCAACAATAATCGTGATGGCAATTGTAGTCCAAAAAGTGAACACATTCAAGATGTGTCTTTGGATTGTGAGTGTCTTTCAACAAAATATGGTTAGGATCTGTTACAATGTGGCCAGTCCTCCATATCCACAGATTAAAACATTAATGCCTTGAAAATATTTTCCGTGCCCCCCACCCAAAGCAAACTTTGATTCTATATAAGGTACTAGTGATCTGCATATACGAAAATAGAGTTCACAGCCTCACCATTACTATACCGTCCGTTGTCTCGAAACCATGCGGTACCGAGAGCAACTGGTCTCTCAAAACTCTCTTATAGTACTGAGGCAATTGGGAGGTCAGGAGGAGAGAGGCTGACTACCCAGGAAAGATGACTACTACCACATCAGTTCTGGATTATTAAATATGGTTTTCTGTGGCGAGCAGATGGTGACTAGTGGATGGCATATGTTCTGTATCAGAAACTAGAGCTGATGTGGTCTATCCAATGCAATTTTATGAATCAGCACCCCAAATAACCAAACCAAATCTAAAGTTGACCAAAAACTGATTTGTAACTCTCCTGGTACTTATGTTGGAGAGTGGTCCCTGGTCAAAGTGGTCCCTGGTCAAATGATCCCTGTCAAAAAAAAAGGTTGGGAACCAATGTTATAAGGGATATCATTATACCATGCCATTATATATAATGGGACTTGAGCATCCTTGGATTTTGGTATT